GGCAGCGGGGAAGGGCTGAGCTGGACAAACGCTTTGCCGGAGCCCACCTGCTCCTCCAGACAGGCTTCCCGCTGCCATTATCGGGAGAAAGCCCGCCSGGAGATAAGAGCGGCCGCGGGGGAAGGTGACACGGGACATCCCTGGCACCCACACATCGGGGCTGTCCTGAGCAGCCACCCACACACCTGGGATGGAGCAGGGGCTGGGAGCCGGTCCCCGCTGTCCCCAAACCCCCGCTGTCTGTCAGGAGGGGCCAATCTGTCTTCCCTTTTCCTCCCAGCTGTTTTTAGAGCGAGTGACCTTCCCATCCATCTTTTTGGAGGCGATAAAAGTCTCCGGGCATCACTGCCCCGCTTTTCCTTCAGCTCCCTCTCCAGGGAGGAGCCGCAGGGTGCGGAGCGTGCCGGGATGTGGGAGCAGGGATGATGGAGAGCCAAGGAAGAGACGGCAATCCCATTTCTTGTAGCAGGGAGGATAATGCCAGCTCAGGGCAGAGCCCTGGCGGGCAGATGGAGCAGCCCAGGCGTCGGGGATCCTGAGCCCTCTGACGGGCTGAGGGCTCTGCTGTGTGGATCCCTGAGCCGGATCCATCCCTCTGACGGGCTGAGGGCTCTGCTGTGTGGATCCTGAGCAGATCCATCCCTGTGACGGGCTGAGGACTCTGCTGTGTGGATCCCTGAGCTGGATCCATCCCTCTGAAGGGCTATGGGTTCTGCTGTGTGGATCCTAAACTGGATCCATCCCTCTGACGGGCTGAGGGCTCTGCTGTGTGGGTCCTGAGCCGGATCCATCCCTCTGACGGGCTGAGGGTTCTACCTCTGCGACCCCCCGGCTCCCCAGCAGGGATTAGCCAGGATGGGTTTTTGCCAAGTCCCGGCTGTCACTGCGTTCCCACCTTTGATCAGGAGTCGGCATTCCTCAAGTGCTCCATCTCCCACATGTTGCGTTGATCAAAGGCAGCTGTTGCCTGGACCCTCCCCTGAGCCCATTTACACACATACACACACCCAAAAATCCTGAAATAAAGGGAACTGGAGGCGATGGAAGGGCTTATGGATGAAGGAGAGACCAGGCAAGGGGCAGCAGCAACAGGAAAATCCCTGTCCCTGGTCCATGGAGGGTCCCATTCACACCTGTCAGGAAGGCAGGGGAGGCTGTCAGGGTTGGAAGTGAGATCGGGCAGCCTGGAAAAGGAGCTGGACCTTATCTGTCACCTGGAGGACACTGGGTCCTGGGTGGGTGACAGCAGCAGCTGTGGCAGAGCAAAGCCAACATCTTCCCCAGCGTTGGTGGGATCAGGAGGRAGCCTGGATCCCCCTTTCCTTTAATCCCACTCTCATCTCAGTAGTTTGTGTGTGCTCAGGGCYAAGGGCCACCCCATGCCCTCTGGAGGACCATGGGAGGCTGAGTAGGGACAGATGGCACTGGGGACATGTGGGGTGTGATGGGCAGAGTGATGCCATGAGGGATCAGACCTCATGGACCATCCCCAGCTGTGCCAGTCACCACCACCCTGCTCCAGGGAGGAGGAAGGTCTGAGACCTTTCTGCTGGTGGCAGCTCCTCTCCAGGGCCATGGCGGTCCCATTAACTGTTCTGGCAGCTGATTTATTGCTCCTGCACAGGACTTGCCTCTGCTCCCCAGCTCCTGCAGTGCAAAGCACTTGGATTTTCTGGATTCCCAAGCACTTTGTGAATCCTCATCTATGCCAAGTCAGGCTAGCATGGATGTCATGTCATTTGTGCTTGATGTGCTGGGGAAAATCCCTCCCACCCTTCCTCATCCTCACCCCCACCTGCTGATACTCAGCACTGCAGTTTAGCTGGAAAAATCCCAATCTCCACCCAAAACCTGCAGGAAAAAGGAAAGCAGGGAGAGGAGCATGGGATACACTTCCAGACTGTCCCCGTAGCTGAGGCAGCAGTTCAGGTGAGGGTAGGGCTGCTTGGAAGCCAAATCGTGCTGCTCACAGTGACACTGCAGCAATCACAGCCCCAGGCAAGGACAGGATCCTGCAGCTTCCTGTGCCTCTGCAGAGGGTCTGCTTGGGCAGAGTCCCAGGGATGGAGCCCTTCAGAAAGGCAATTCCTCCTCCTCCTGTGATCCCATCCCATTGTGCAGCACTCAGGAGGATCGAGTGTCTTTCCAAGTGCTGGGTGGATCATTAAAAACAGCCTGTGTTCACCTCCTTCAGGACTGTCAGGGCAGTTTGCTCATACAAGGAGGGTCTGGCCATCTTCCCTCACAAAATTTAATGTCTCCAGCAGCAAAACCAAGGAGGTTCAGACAGYGTTTCCTATGGTGCTGTTATTAAAATAATGCCACCCACTGAAGGAGGRTGAGCACCCCAAAACCAGGCAGTGAGTGCTGCTGATCTGTTCCTCCCTGTCCTTGCTGGTACCTTTGGGTTCATTTACTCAGCAGAAGGTCCTCAGCCAGGGCAYAGCCCTCTGCAGGAACCCCCGAGGCTGAATTCTGCTCATTTCCTATATCTGAAAGGAAAGGACTCAAGGTCTGGGTGCCAAGGAAATGGAGCACCTCCAGTGCTTACTGCACCCTCAGAACCCCCCAGAGCCCCCAAAGCTGCTCAGCAGCATCCTGAGAGCACCAGAGAGGCTGCCTGGYGTGGGGATCCTGTCACAGCCAAGGTGACCCCGGCTCAGAGGGATCTTTTACCTTCTCTGGCAGCGTCCAGCACTCCCAATCCGACAGGCATGAAGGGCACCCCAGGGCTGTGCTCGTCCTTCTTGTCCCACCCTGAGGAAGGAAATCAAAAAGGGAATCAAATCTGCAGTCAGTGCGTGTCAAACTTGTGTTTCTGTGCTGAGCCTTTGCGTGTGGGGAGGGGTGAAATCGATTGTTTTCAAAGAATTGAGATCAGCAGAGCTGAGCATCCCCACAGACTCTGTAAAACCCCTATTCTTGCATGGAATTGAGAGTTAGTTGGGTACCTGGTCCGGAGCCTGGCTCAGGTGAGCTCTCCCAAATGTCCCAGGAGAACTTTCTGATCACAGGAATCTGAGGAGTCCCAGCTGAGCGCTGGGGCCAAGCTCAGACCTGGAGATAATCATCCCTAATTACAGAAAAGGCAGTGAGGAGGCAAATTGCAGCYGTGCAGAGAGGGAGGTGAGGACCTMCGAAGAGCAGAAGGGTGRGGTACACCCAGGATTGATCCTTTCCCCAGAACATTTTCCTGTCCCAGCATCTCAGGAGACAGGAACAGGCAAGGTCAGTGTAGGCAGGAGCTGGGCACCGCTGCCAGCTGCACACAGCAGGTGAGGAGGACACGCAGGGGGGACAAGTGTCTTGGAGAGGACAGCACCAGCAAGGGCACAGTCTGGATGCGTTAGTGACGGTRGAGGGTCCTGTCAGCGGTGCCTTCATCCCAAGTGACAGCCCTGACAGCCCGGCCAAGGACGAGATGGGAGCAGAGGGCAGCGGGGGGAGGGAGCCGGGTCCCTGTGCTGTGACACTGCCCGGAGCCCCCGGGAAGGGCAGGGCAAGGGACAAAGGARAGCCTTCCCTGGGAGCCCCTGGGAAGGGCTGTGGGGTGAGCAGGGCATGGATGGCTCTCCCAAAGCATCCCACTCTTTCCAGCTCCCCCTGCCCTGAGCCAGGCCATTGTCTCTGCTCTCCATCCCTGGAAAACACATTTCATGTGCTGTTCACCYGTGGGGACAGCACTGGCTRCATCCCAGGCCCYCCAGGACACTGSRGTGGGACARTGGGGTGACTGGGTTGGGGCTGMCTCCCCCAAACAGCTTCCAGCCCCATTCCCTGCTGCTTCCAGCCTTTGGGGTGGGCTCAGCCAGCTGGAGCAGCCCCAAAGGGATGTTAGGATATGGGTGGGATTGCTCCAAGCTATCCCTGGGGTAACACCCCCCCCAACTGAGGGGAAACAGGGAGGACTGTGAGCTCTTCTGAGCATCTTTCTCTGGRAATGAAGGTGTAAAGTTGGATTTCAGGCATGTGTGAGGTGGGGCTGAGGGGCTGAGAGCAGGAGATGCTTGAAGGAAAATAGTTCTGCTCTCCTGAATATGCTCAGCCTCCAGCAATGTATGGATCACGGAAACTTAAAATATCCTGAGTTGGAAGGGACYTACRAGGATCAYGGGGTCCAAYTCCTGGCCACCYYYKGGGGRARRRSCYTTTYCYKRWTTYCMRSCYWAMSCMMCCCYKG